CTCTCTCTCTCTCTCTCTCTCTCTCTCTCTCTCTCTCTCTCTCTCTCCCTCTCTCTCTCTTCTTGACATTAGCTCCCACTTTTTACCCATGGATTTGCTTCCCCTCTCTTTATCTCAAACCCTCAAATTTAGGGGAATATACAAATCAATATTAATGGCTATGTAATTTATTAGCAGTATCAAAGAACACATAAAATGCAAATAGACATTAAAACAATGGCTAACAGACTGCAATAGAGAGTATAGCTGGGATTGAATTTTTTCTTTGCTCCTTATACCTTCTCCTAGCCAGTCTGAGGTGAGTGTTGAAGAAAAGGGATTGGAATTTAAACTCTGTGTGGAAACTTCCTCATCACTGTCTCTGGAAAAGAAGATGATGAAAGGAGCTATGGACCAGATTTTACTCTCTCTCTCACCAACTATTGTGGATGCATTCTGATCCAGTCCTGGACACACCTTCCATTCTATTCTGATCATCACATCATATGGTAGGAAGGAACAATGAATGTCTTTTTTAAAAAAGCTACTGAAAGTGTACTTAGGACCTAATTAGCTCAGGGCAGTTGACATAGATCCCTGGTGCTCTAAATACAAAAGCCTGGCTCCTTCCTTGGGCTTCTGACCACCAGCAGACCAGAAGGAGGATCAACTTCAGCACAGGCAACCTGTATTCAGCTGAATCAGTGCTGAATCCCTGCTGAATATCCTTTCCCTGTTATGGTTGAGTACCTTTTGTTAATTGTCAGATGTTCCAGGGGGGTGTTATTTCATTCTAATCTCAAACCTGAGGTAACAGACCAGCCTGAGTCAGTGAGTCTGCTGTTGAATCCTGCCTGCTCTTTGCTTTTTGTCTGATCAGCACCTCATGTCTGTCTGCTCTCTCTGCTCTCACTGTCTCCTGGTTGTAACCCCAAAGTGGGATAACACCCATCATTAATTCATCCCACCTCTCAAGTCCCTGCAAGTATGGACTCTCAGAACCATGCTCCTTCCACCTTCTTTTCCTCTTGGACTCATGTAAGTCCTGGGTGGAAGTTCCCTTTAAGGCCATGAGAAACACAAATCCTTGAGGACTTTACTGTGTGTCTGTGTACAGTCTAGTCCCATGGTTCTTTATGCTGTCCATGACATCATATCTAGAGGTAACCTTCTTAAATTTTAAAGGTTTACCCAGTGCTTTACATGCATTTTTATTTGATTACAAAGCAAAACCTTGTTTCTAACAATTTATTTTTAGGAAAACATCTGAATACATATCCAAATTATCTAGTTAAAACACTCTATGCCTGTCTCTCCTAGTTTTAGTATGCTGGTTGGTTGCATTCAGAAACCACACCAAAGTTAATCAATAAACATTTATTAAGCACCTACTATGTACCATACTCTGTGCTAAGCATCGGGGATACAGAGAAAGGTTAAAAAGACAGTTCCTGCTCTCAAAGACCTCACAATCAAATGGGTATCCACATTAATGTCACAGCTTCAAAGGTGTGAGTGGCATCACTGCATGCCAATGACCAACCTCAGCAAAGATCAAAAATGCTAAGGATAAGAATTGTCTCCAACTAATATCACAAACTAGATACATTTTCAAGTAGCTCAAATTAGATTAATATGCTTAATCTATTTCAAATCGGAATCTACATTTATTAAACATAAAATGGCAAATATAAAATCAAATTACTCATTTGCCAGAATGACACTGAAATCCTCAGACAAATATGCCTAATATTCAGTGCTCAAATACTATTCAAATGAGATAATATGCGTAAAACACTTTGCAAACCTTAAAGTTCTATATAAACATAAACAAGAGAAACTTGAACCCCAGACCTGTTGATCTAATAGTAATGGTGATCATTATGATAGTATCTAGTGTTTGTATATATTAGCTAGTGTTCAGTGGTTATTGGGCAAGTGACCATCATCTGATTTTGGTCTAGCCAGTAGAGCTGAAGATTTGGACAATGTCGCAGGTGGTCACCATAATTTAGTGCCAGATCTCTTACTGACAGGGATCCAGTCCTGAATCAGGAAGCCTTGTCCAAAGGAAAGGCTGTATCTCTCCACTCCTACCTCCTACCTGGGATATATGAAGTCTCAGAGCCAA